CCCCAAAACCCCAAAACCCCAAAACCCCATGTGGTAAAAAGTATTGCGATAATTTTAGATCTTTAATATATTAGTTAATTATTAAGAAATAGTCTATAAATTGAGGCGCACTTTGTAGCTTTAAATAGGAGGAATAGGCTATAATAATTATAAAGAAAATAACTAATGTACAATAATTCTAAGCTCGGTTAGCCAATATTTTAAAGCGAACTAGAAAAATTCTTGGATACCTTCAAATCCAAAGTCCCTATCCAGCAATCTCTGAATTTGAATTTAGTAGGAAACATGAACAAGCATCTCTTAAATAGTATTTCAATGTAAATAGTTGAATAGGACTCTAAAGTTGCTAGTGCAATTCAACTAGTTGATTCCTTAGACAAATATATTCTAAAAAACAGATTAGATGAAACCACATTCACATTCAAAGAATAATAATTGGAATTACTATAGGAATATATTTTCGCTTTGAATAACTTCCTAAAGAACCAATATAAAAGTAGAATTACCTAGTCAAATTTAAAGGATATGCTTCAATTAGTCTAGAATAATTAACCAGCTATTTTAAAGTAGATTTTCAAGATCGCGAAATACTTCATAGGTGATAATTTTATCAACTTCTGGAAATAGTTTTAAGAAGGAGTTCTTTAATTCCAAGAAATGTATAGATGATACTAATAAGATGCTCTTGGAATAAAAGCAGAAGAAAAGTTATATTAAAATAAGATTTTGAATTATATCATAAATGAGGATGAGTACATGCTACTAACTCTTGCAATTATAGACTTGAGTCAGTCGTTTGTAAAAGATAAGTTTTTGTACACAATTGAGAAGGCAAAGTATCTTTTCCTTGAGTTTGAAAATTTGAAGAATTTCAGAGAAAAAATAAAGCCACTAGATTAAATTGATATTTAGATTGACCACCAACAGCACTCTACTTCAGCATAAAATGACTCTAATTCAAAAGTAAGCTAAGTTGATACTAAGACATAGAACACCTCATAATGAAACTTGATTGGTTAAAAGAGATAAGCATAAAAGATTTTACTCTGAAAAATATAATTAATTTTCAATAAAAATTCTAGCAAATTATTTTAAAATTACTTATAACAAATTCATAGAATATCAATGGGTGTGGGGTTTTGGGGTTTTGGGGTTTTGGGG